GCTACAAAGGCCCCATCAACTCCTCAGAAACCAGACACAATAAGTTCTTCAGCTACAAAAGCCCTACCAACTCCTCAGAAACCCAACACAGTACATGTGTCAGCTACAAAGGCCCCATCAACCCCTCAGAAACCCACCACAGCAAAAGATTCAGCCACAGCCAAAAAATCCCCCATATCAAATGCTCTATCTACAGAGACCCCAGCAGCAGCCCAGAAGCCCATCATGGCAAATTCATCTGCCACACAGGCCATGCCATCAACCCATAGATCCACCACAGCGAAAGCTTCATTTACACGGAGTCTTCCAGCAACACAAAAGTCCACTGTTATCCATGCCCCAGTGACTAAGGGTCTCCATACAACAAAAAGATTGACCTCTGCTCATGTTACAGCAAAACAGAGTTCAGCTACTCCCAGGACAACCAGCACACCTAATGGAAAAGGGACCCTCTCTTCAGGTGAGTTGACACTGCTCAGGTTTTCCTGAGTAGGGATCTAAGGTGCTATGGTGGGAAGAGTTTTTCATACTAACGCTCTTGACTTTCTTCAGAGGCAGACTGGGAGTATGCTAGGGTGCAACATTTTGCAATAATGTAGAAAAAGATTGGGGCTCCATGAAAACAATGCTAAGTTAAGCTTGGCAAAGAAATTCTGTTTTTTATATGAGATTTAGGTAGTCCTTGAATTCTTCAAGACCCTTTAGGGAACCAAATACATGTACCATCCTTACAGCCATTTTTTGGGTCTGGTTTGTTGATAGAGACCCATCCCTTAAGCATGCTGAAGGATCTCTCCAGATTCCATAGAGTTGCTAATTTGGTAAAGCATCTCAACAGTGTCTTCTAAGTAACTGAAAAGACAGAATTCTTTGAAATGGTCTATATTTACACAAGGGTCTTTAAATGACAATTTTTGTAAAAGTGGAGTAAAGTACGTTGTAGACTTCAAAAATACGTGTAGAGCGAATGAATGAAACCCTTCTTACTAGTTACTGCTGCTTCGGGCTACCAGGATGTCCCCTTGTCTATTAACTTACCTAATGGATAGCCAAAATTTTTATGGATACTCTTATTCTCTATTAGAGATACCTATTTTTTTTTTTTTTCTGTTCCTTGGAAAATCTCAACAGGACTGTGAGCCAAGAGATAATTTTTTTAAAATTGTTTTAACTTTTTAATTGAAGTCAACACACACCCACACACACCCACACTCACACTGCATAAAACACCCATGTATGGCGCAATAACTTTCCTAAAGCAAATATTTGTGTAACCACTACCAACGTCAAGAAATAAAATATTAGCAGCCCCTCAAATTTGCCCCCTCAAGTTCCAGATGCTCTGTCAATGATCCTGAACTTCATACTTTGACTTGTCCTCTTACTTAGTCGGTACAACCTTGGCATTTTCTCCCTATGCCACATGGCCCAGGGTCTTCCCTCACTGCAAATATGCAAACCTCATTCCGTACCGTTCTCCCTTCTCTGGCCTTGACCCATTTCTGCCTGTCTTAGTTTGCCAGCCAGTGCCTTCAAATCATTGTTACGGTTGCTTTTCCATATTTTGTCCAGATTTCATAATTGCTGTGATGAGGTCTGTTTTGCCATCATCACCCAGATAATTTTTAAGAGCTTGAAACATTACAGGTATCCTTGTTGAAATTTCCTTTGCATATTCCATGATTCCTTTCTGTAAAAAGCCAAATACATGCACATGCACAAAATCTTAACCCATTCCTGCCCGCTTTTGGTCATTCTTTGATGGCATCCAATAATCATGGGTTTGTTTTTTTTTTTAAATAGTTTGACACATTGTGACCATATTTTCATAATGATTTCGTATATTTCACAGTTGTTATCTTGAAGCCTTTTTTGCCCTTACCTTAAGGCTATTTTTAAGAATTTGAACATTATAGATATTATGTGTTGTGCCATTTCCATTTCTCTCCCTCTGAAGCTCTGACTGCCCTGAGCTTGGTGTTTAAGCATCCTATCTATGTTTTAATTCTTACGCTTGCACACGTGTATCCATTAGTAGTACATGATACTGTTTTGGTTTTTTTTTTGTAATTTACATAAGCAGTATCTTGTATATTTTATTATCTACCTTGGCTTTTGGCCCTGCACATCAGTTTTATAGCTTGTGTTCACACCTTTAGGTCTAGTTCATTACTTTTAACACTTGTGGGAGTTTACTGACTTCTTCAATTTTCATGACCTCTCTGGGCCTAAAAGTTTTAGGTTGAATACATCTGATTTTTCATAGAGCAAGGCAACGAGAAAGAAGTCTCACTTTCACCAATATAAATTTGTTAGAGCGCTAACTTTGTTGAAATATTTCTTTCTGTAAAAAAAAAAAAAAATACAAGGTAATTTAACAAATTTAAACGAAACCTGAAAAAAAACATGAACTAAACCTGAGTCAATAATCATGATGAAAGTACAACCAGTATTTGGGGTCAGATTTCTCTCTTTTATGCAATTAATGTATTCCTCAGATATCATTTACCATTTTTTGCTCATATTGAAAAAGAAAGGAGTCGCTGCCACTTGCTGGGTATGCACTGTAGTTGTACGCACCATGCACTTCACCTCTTTGGACACGAGTCCTTGTCACAACCTTGCGACATAAGCCTTTTCAGCTTCATTTTGTAGGTGATGAACTAGAGGCTTAGAGATTAATTTGTATGAATCATATAGTACCCAGTTGATAGGGAGAAAGTTGGGAGTTAAACACCTACTTGCTGACTCTTAAATCCTGTGCTTTCTTCGCTTATTCTTAGTGGTATTTTGAATAAATCCATTCACTACTTAGGAGAGCAGCATATTATTATAAATATATTTATTTGAAAGTAATTTTTGCAGTGCCACATTCGTAGTCTTTGAAAGGTAAAAAATGAAGTAATTTGAGCTTTTGATAGAGTCTGCTGAGAGAGACTTCAGTTTGTGATAGTTTCTTGGTCATAGGATTGGATCACAGTTCTTTACTATATAAGCTTTCAAATTTGTTTCTTGCCATCAAGTCATATAATTGAATTATATGGTGTCTGTTTCAATATTCACTCACTCTTTATCAGGTTTCATGTTTATAGTGTTGACTCTGTTGAATAGATATACGCACTGGTGTATGTGTTTCTTGATTAAGTTAATATACAACTGTTTTCATTAATTTATTTATAATTATTTCTTTTAGTTATGAAAATCTGAGTTACTTTTGAACTTTCAAGTACATTCTGCGGATATATATGTTAAATTGCTGGCAAATCAATGGCTTTACATGTTTTTTTTATTTTTGTAATTATTTTTTTCTTTCTTTTTCTTCAGGTGCTGCCATCATTGCAATTGGTAAGTTTGGTTCTTCAGCAGTTAAAAAAAATTGTCATCACTGTGGGATGTACAATCCATATTCCTGGAAGAGAATATTGTCTTTTTACTGTCTTAGGAATACTATTAAAATGAAATGTTTAAGAGTGTCAAGGAGAAGACAGGTAAATGCAGTTTATCGACGTGTTTGGTGGACACCAATAGGTACTCGGTATGTTGCTAAGTATTCCCGACCATGTTCTTGTTCCAGGGTAATTTTAGGGCAACTTCAAATCATTTGGCCAGTCAGTCAAGTATCCTTGAATGCCTATTGTCTCAATGCATCATCATTTTAGGGGCCAAAAACAACAAGAAGGAGGCTGTTGTCAATACAGTTTTTAAGCCTCAAGTATTGCCTAAGTACTCACAAACTACTCCTTGACTGTTTCTAGACTTCTATTCCAAATAAACCGGAATGCTACCTTTGATTACGTTCTCTTCCTTCTCCCTTCCCTGTCAGTGATTTAAAGCAAAGAAAACTTTAAAATTATTCCGTTGCTATAGAAATAAGGACATATCTGTGTTGCAATGTCTTCTGGCCTTTATTCCAGTATTTTTGTTGTTGTTCATAAATATATTATTTGATGTTATACATTTTAACAAGAAGATTAATAACTCCTAAAGAAGATGATAAAAGAAATGTTTGAGAAGCAATACAGCTATGTAATGTATGGTGATTAACATAATAAAATAAAATTTAAAAAAAAGAAGCAATACAGCTAAGTTGGCATATTAATAAGGAATGCCCAACGGAAAATATACACTTAAAAAAAAAGTGAATATTTTAAAATTATGTCCGTGTAAGCTAACGTCTCCTATCTATGCATGCATGAATGAGACAAGGGACTGAAGCTGAAAGTAGGTATTTTTTTATTATTATTATTATTTATAGTTCTTTTATATTTTGAATGAACCTCTCCTTAGCTAAAATACTTATCTTGAAAGATTTGAACAGTTGGAATTCACTTTGTTTGTTTGATATTTTAAATAGAAATAAATGTATTCTAAAGGAAAACTTCATGATTTCATCATTTAATGTTAACAATGATGAGTTTAGTGGATGGGCTTTTTCTCACCTGCTCAGTGGCATCCAGTGAAGGTTTGAGGGGTTTATTTTCTCTGAAATTCTTGAAGTATGTACTATGTGATCTCCCAGAAACTTTCCCTTAGGGTTAGATGTAATTCCAACTTGTGCTCAAAAATAAAGAGGAGCTCTTTCCCTCTTAAATCAGACATATGGCAATATTTTTCTTTGGGATCTTATACTTGTAAAATATAAACCTAAAAATTATCTTTATTTCTTCAATTTATTCTGTGCATCGGGTCACTTTTCTCATTTTTGTTTTATCAGTTTTTTAAAAATTTGACTGTAGTTGATACACAATGTTGTATTAGTTTCAGGTATACGACATAGTGATTGGACAAGTCTGTACATTATGCTGTGCTCACTCACCCCAAGTGCAGCTGCTGTCTGTCACTATACAAAGCCATTATAATGTCATGGACTAAATTCCCTATGCTGTGCCTTTTATTCCTGCCACTTTTCTTATTTTAAAGATAAGCAAACTCTACTTACAAGGAAATTGCTTTTCTTGACTACACTGCAATGTTAGTGAGTGATATAGAGGATACTAGAACTTTGGAAGTATTTGAATTTTTTCCTGTTTAATTCTGCTAAGAAAGAGAGACTGACTAATCTCAGAACTCCCTTATTTGCCGTGTAAGTGAAGACTTTATTGTGAGGTCTAAAGCTATTCTGCTGGCTCTGTATCGCTGTTTCTCAAAAACCTTTTTTTCATTATTGCCCTCTCCCCCTCAAGGAACTTTTTAGACATTTTATTTTCCAATCACCCTTCCCCCTTGAAATTTCACTACCACAGACATACTGTAAATCTATGTATATTCTGTATGTATATCTATACTTTATACACAGAAAAGTAAGATTTTTCTTTTCACCCTTTTGGGATAATACCCCCCATTGAGAATACATGCTCTATATAGTTGTTTCGTTTTGTTTTTGTTTTTTTTATATGTAGTTTTGTATTTGCTTTTGTTTCTGTTTTTTTATGCCAACATTGTAAAGAAGACAGGCTTGTGTTTTGGAGTCAGCCAGACCTTGGTTTGAATCCTGTTGGTTTGTTTTTTTTTTAATTTAGTAATTATTCAACCCAAGTGATTGAACTTAATCTTTCTGAGTCCCAGTTTTCTCATTTATGATCTCTGTTTAAAGTCTTTGAAGCTTAATGAGATAATAGATATGAAAACTCCAGCACAGTGCTAACCATTGAATAAATATTAACTTAAAGCAGTCATGTAGTGCAGTCGCTGTTATTTTCCTAAAATGGGTTTCTTTCTTTTTTTTCTTTTTAAGATTATTTATTTATTTATTTATTTATTTGACAGAGAGAGACACAGCGAGAGAGGGAACACAAGCAGGGGGAGTGGGAGAGGGAGAAGCAGGCTTCCCGCCGAGCAGGGAGCCCGATGCGGGGCTCGATCCCAGGACCCTGGGATCCTGACCTGAGCCGAGGGCAGACACTTAACGACTGAGCCACCCAGAAGCCCCCTAAAATGGGTTTCTGACAGTTTTATCATTCCCTCTGGCCACACCAAAGAGTAAGAACAGTCCTTTATTAAGGTAATATTTGCATTTTTGCTGCGTGGCAAGTACTCTACTGAAATTTTTATATTTTTATTTTACTTCCCAAAACATAATGTATCTATGTCCCATTTTTAATTTTTTAATTTTTCTTTTAAGATTTTATTTATTTGACAGAGAGAGAACGCACAAGCAGGGGGAGCCCCAGAGGGAGAAGCAGGCACCCCGCTGAGCAGAGAGCCTGACTCAACTCTGGGCTCCATCCTAGGCCCCTGGGATTGTGACCTGAGCAGAAGGCAGCTCCTTAACTGACTGCGCCACCTAGGAGCCCCTCTATGTCCCATTTTTTAATCTGAAAGAATGATTTCTGCAAGATTTGTAACTTGCCCAAGGTCACACATCTATTAGGCGCTTCAGCAGAGACAGATGACTCGTTTCTCCAGCACTTGAAAGGATAGATTCTTGTCCTATGTGAAAATCTGCACAACTCAAATTTGACAATTAATGTAGTCCTGATTCTTTACTTTTTCCCCCCCCCACCATTGCTGAAATCCTATTTCGTGATGTTCATAAATCTCTTATGGGGATTAATAGGTCAGTTGAAGGAATATTTAAGAAAAAAATTAGAGACTACTCAGTGACATATCTAAAATGCTTTTTCTGTATCCTTCAAATATCACATGCTGATTAACCTTGGCTTTGTACATCCACCTGCATATGGCATATGGTATAGACTAGCCCAAATGGAGGCATACTTTCAAGAGTCTTGAATCATCAGTAGTACTTTGAAATGCGTCAGATGCTGTATCAGGTCTTCACTGTGTCTTATGACCTTCTCTCTGAAGGATGAACTTAAATCCCATTGTAAGTAACTTCAGTTATCTACAAGTTATTTGAAGTTAAGAAATCAGACAACATAATCATCTAATTTTTCGTTGATCTGCTTAGGCTGGCAAGAGAAGCATTTGAATTTCCCTCACCTAAAAAATACAGAGGCAAAGAAAATCCAATGATAATAACAAAACCCTTCAAGGGTCCTATGGATGTTGCCGAGGAAGTGGGGTTGAATTCTGATTTGTAAATCTGAAAATTTAAGGTTTACTGAAGCACATTCTTTTTCCTCCTATAAAAGCCTCTTTCCAGTGTGACTTCACCTGTCCACAGACCTCAGTTCCTTTATTCTGTTATGTTAAATAGGATTATAAGGAAGAACAACCTATTTAAAACTTTCTCAGTTTTTAGCTTTTTTAGTTTTCAGTCTCCGCACACATTCTTCTAGAATTACATATATGTGCTGATCAGTGTTCTAGGAATAAGATTTTGGTTCAGCCATCTAGATACTCTGGATCACTTGAAAATTTTCTGTCTTCATTTATCATTCAAATTGAAAATGGGATGGTTTTACAACCATTGAAAATGGTGGAGCTAATGGGAGTGGTGAAGGGAAAAGAACCCCAAATTTTTGAGGAGTCATGATTGATTTTATGAATACAGTCTTTCCAAGCTAATGATATGGTGCTAGGGGATCAGTTAAAGAAATTGATTGGGTAAAATACTGTAAAAACCTACCTGTGGTAGAAATAGCTGTTTCAATCATGTATCCATACGACAGTGCAATTGTGTGACATGAGCGTTTGCTGATTTGGAACCAATTTGTGACTTGGTCACATTACTTTCAGTTGCTTTCCTAGTGTCATCTGTAATTTCCTTTGCAATACAGATCAAAAGAATAGAGTTCAAGGACATTGCAGGATGGAGTAGGCAGGGAAAGGGAGACCGAGAATGTTATGGAGAAAGGGCACATGGGTGGTTTGGAAGAAGAAAGACTGTGTGTGAAAATCAAACTATAGAAATTACTGTTGACCAACTTATTTGACCAATTACTTTTCTGTCATACAACTCAAAATAGTGCATTTAATCTCAAAATAATGCTTTCCTAAATGAAATTGTATCGACAACAGACTAAACACTGAACAGCATATTCTGTAAGCAACATAAATATGTTTCAGCCTCCATGCACAGGTGATATTACCTTTCCTGTGATGGAGAAATGCCTATAGCTCTTATCTTTACTAGGAACAAAGTAAATGGCCTTCCTATTAACCACATATGTAGCCCTCATCTCTCTGAGACTCAGTTTACTCATCTACACAATGAGAGTGAACTCCAAGATACCTTCTAGTGCTAACATTACATAATGCAGTCATCATGGTTTTTTTTAAAGATTTTATTTATTTATTTGACATAGAGATAGTACAAGTAGGCAGAGAGGCAGGCAGAGGAAGAGGGAGAAGCAGACTCCCCGCTGAGCAGGGAGCCCGACGTGGGGCTCGATCCCAGGACCCTGGGATCATGACCGGAGCCGAAGGCAGCCGCTTAACCGACTGAGCCACCCAGGCGCCCCCGCAGTCATCATGTTTGAATGACCAATGATCAAAGCATTTAAAATTGAGCCTGGTGGGGTTGAAACCCTTCGGAAGCCTCTCCAACAGGTTAAACACATCTTATTTGAGTATGTGATACTTTAAGTATTTTATTTTATTTTTCTTTGACCGAAAGGATAAATAGCATGCAATTTTTACTGTCAAACTTGTGACATTAAGAAAGCCACACACAAAATAGAATTCACGTCTCCTGTTTTTCTTTAACTTGGCTCGTAACTGGTGTGTTTGTCATTGTGAAACTGCATTGTATATGTACTTGCTCATGTTTCTATTAACTGTGTTACCAAATTTTTTCCCCCTCAAGGACTTGTTGCTGGTACTATAATTGGTACCCTAATTCTAGTCAAAATTTTCTGGCACTATGGAAAATCAGGGTGAGCAGAAATTCTGATGATTTAAAAAAATTTGTTCTTAGCTTCTTTCCAGTAAAACTTGACACTATATCAGAAGGTAACTTTCTTAGCTTAATTGTCTTTTTGGACATGCTCTCCCTTTATTCCTTTTCTCTGTCATTACTGCCCTGGGTAAACAGACTTTGTGTCTTTTTTCTTCTCTTTTTAATTTTTCAGTAGATTCAAGGACATTAACATTTCATAGGAAAGTGATTTGAAAGCCACATTCTCGCTTTGCAATCTATTAACCAACTCACCTTGTTTCCCTACTCAGTACAATTTCTGGTAAGATCTGTGTGTTACACAGAAGCAAAAACCTAGGGAAAAATCAACCTCTCATAGATTTGGCAGGTTGCCTGTGATCAGGCCTTTTTCTGAGTTGGATATATGAAAACATGCCGAAACAGCTAAAAACAGCCCCGTGGTTCAGAGGATGGGCCCAGGAGCCTGACCGCTTGATTTGAATCATCCCCGGGCTGAAGTACGGGCCATGGGACAATGGGCAACTTCACTTCTCTGAGGCTTCTTATTTGTAAAGTGGGGGGCGTATATCACCTGCCTCAGGGGATTGTAGTAAGGATCAAATGAATTGCCCCCTGTAAAGAAGGTAGAACATTGCTTGGCACATTGGTAAGCCCTGGGATGGTAGAACAGCTGCACATAGGGAAAAAAATCAGTATTATTTGAAACATCTGATCTGCCTTGAATGTGCATGTGTTAAGTATAATGTCATAGCTGGCTCTGACCTATTCTGTAGACAGAGGATTATTTAAATTGACCCTCCTTTGTTTTATAGATTTGACTGTTTCTTACCGTAGAGTTTATATAAACTTGAATTATTTCTAAACTGCCCTACTGCCTATTTTTTTTCCCCTTAATTAAAAACAACTCTGCTTTAATGCTGTCACTAAATGGCCTGTTTTAATTTGAGGGGTGATGTGAGCTATCTACTTTTTACCCTCTGAACTCTTACCTTTCTCTTTAAATTAACAATGTTATTGAAGCCTATTGTAAGCTAAAGTATGTAAATGTTCTTTAAGTCACCAAATGGTTCAGTCTTCTAGTAAAACTATCTGACCACTGGGTCTTGTGAGCTTTTAAATAGATATTTGTTTACTGCCAATAAAGTATTCTAGATGCTTAATACCAAATGTAGTAAAATAGAAGTTCAGGTGTTTCAGAAACTTTTTAAGAATGTGGTTTAGAGTCCAACAAAAATGAACAGAATTCGAAGTCATATAAAGTGAGTTAAGTTGGTACTGATGCTTGAGCAAAACTACTGTGGAAAAAAAGTAAACCACCCACCCTACGTACTTCCTTGCCCTTGTTCTGGCTCTCCTTTTGAATTAGAGCATTGTGGGTTTACCTTGCAAAGCCAATGCTTTGGGGCCTGGCAGGTAAGAGGGGTGGGGAAGGAATGTGGAGTTTACTGGGCACTCTCTGGGCAGCTTCAGTTTCTTTACATACTTTTCAGGAAAATAATTGGCCATGTTGGTTTCAGTGGGATGCAAAGTGCTGAAACGTAGAAGGAGGGAATATTTGTTTTGAATTTTATTGGGGTTTTGCAGTAAACCAAATTCCTCTCTTTCTGAATCAGAGGAAACTTGTGCAAACCCCTAAGAAAGAATTTGCCTTTTTCATGTGCACTTAAAAAACACTCCACTTGCCTTGTTTTGGAAGTAAAAGCTGTTGAAGGTAAGAGCTAACTTTGTACATTCCTGGTTATGCTCCTGATTTCATACCGATTTAATTAAAAATTGGATCTTAATAGGGACAGGGAAAAGAGTTAATGAGTGTGAAGGTGATCGTGTCCCTTCACCTGGTGATCCTTTGTGTTTGCCTATCAGAGGATTTACTTATCTCTTTTAGAAATGTAGGGTTCCCGTAAGTTTTTAGTTCAAAGGGATGTGATTGTAAGGAAATGCTGATACTGCTTTTCGGTTGAAATTAAAATTATATGATTCAATTTATGTTTTCCTTCTCTACTATTCAGCTCTTATTACACTCATGAAAACAGCAAAGCACTCAATGTTATGTTTCATAATTTAACTGTGACTGGTGATGCCTCAGAAGTAAGACCTTCTGGTAAATCATAAAAGGTATATGGTTTTATGAAGTCACATTTCTGTGTCTTGTAAAATGTCCATCCGTACCACTCGGGCAGGATTTATCCATGACCGTTCAAGGATAATAGGGGCTCAGACCTCTATTATCTTGTCAGACTGGCTTTTCTTTCTTGAGTGACTAACACATTGGATCTCTCATTAGCATGACATGTCACCCATTCTCCACTCATCATCTCATCTTGTGTTTTGCAATCAGTTTATTGAAATGACTGGATGCTAGCAATGCCACAAATATTTGGAGGGAAAAGCCGAAAGGTGGATACGTTAGGGCTTACACATAGGAATGCCTTCAATGTGACTGTTTGCATCATGAGATGATTGGCTTGTATTGTATTTGTTTCTCCTTTTTGCTTGGTGGCTTTTAGAGTTTCCAGTGTTTGGAAATACTAAGATTTGTTTTATGGTATCTTTTTAAGTCATGCTTATAGATCTTACATCTCTTTTATGTTATACAAAATTATGACAAAAATAACTTAATATAAACATATCTGTGAAACGTTCTCGGTGTCTTCTTCGAGGTGTCTTTTGATGAAATTTTTCTCTAATGCACATGTCAGGGGTTTTCTTTGACTTTTAATCTGGAACTATCTTAATCAATTCTAACTTGGCTACTTAATTTCAAGAAACTAAAAAACTCAAGTGTCATATTTTAGTTGGTGTTGCTATAGCTATTAAACTCTAAAGTCCACATTGAGGTTAGATAACTTACTAATTTTGCATTTGTTTTGCATGCCACATTAACCGATTAATTTTCATTGTTTATCTCATAGTAACCAAAAGATTAATGTGTAGCATCAGTCAATAAAATTATTTTGATGTTAACTTTCTTTTTTAACTTTCAGGACACACATGTGTAACACTGACAGTCTTGTTTATGATGCTAGTAACCATTGGCTAGCTGATTTAGCCGAAGAAGAGTTAAGAAGAAAGTGCACACGAGTATGCAGAATATTTCTAGTTTCTTAGACTTTCTGGAGGATTGGACAAAATAAATGTAATAGTGCTCTTCGTTTTGCATACTATCATTGTCTTTAAGCTGCATAGGAAAATCAACGAAGCAAGGAGAAGCGAGTCTGTCCTGGGACACTCCCAAACCTCTTGAAAATAGAACAACTTGCAAGATTTAGAGTGATTACTTTCCTCGAAGTGTAGGAAAGTGTAGAGGTTTGTTCATACTTAGAACGTGAGCATGAAGAAAAGGAAATGTGTGATTTTTTTTCACTAGATGTGTAAAGTTACCTTTGTTTACAAAAAAAATTAAAAATTAAACACAGTAATTGGATACTGGAAAGAAACAAAAAACCTAAAATCAGTCTCTTCTGAGCAAACTTGCCAAAGAGAGATGGACCATATTATAAAATAACCCTTGACTGTAAGGCATTTTCTTCTTTTCTCATTCCATTAAAATGAGCCTGAATGGGTTAGCAAAATATTTTAAGATTTTTTTTTTTTATTTACTTATTTGACAGAGAGAGAGAGGCAGTGAGAGAGGGAACACAAGCAGGGCGAGTGGGAGAGGGAGAAGCAGGCTCCCCGCCGAGCAGGGAGCCCGATGCGGGGCTCCATCCCAGGACCCTGGGACCATGACCTGAGCCGAAGGCAGACGCTTAACGACTGAGCCACCCAGGCGCCCCAGCAAAATATTTTAAAGGAAAAACATGCTTGTGACTCAAGAGCATTGATTTACTTGGGTTAGCTGGTGGCAAAGGAGAAATCTAGAATAAAGGAATAACTCTTCCTTTTTGTCACACAAATACAGGTACCCAGTCAGGACTTAGCCTCTCACTTGTAAGTAAGATGGATCGGCCATAGTTTTGTTTAAGGACAATCTTTTTATTTTTGTCTCCTTCTTAGAATAGGACCCTTATGAAAGAGTGAAAAGTGTCTTCATTAATTTAATGTCTCTAAAACTATCCAGAGATACCTTGATATTAACATAAGAAAAGAGTCTATATTTCTGAAGTGAGATGTTCATAGCCACATTGTAAATCTTATTCTTTTGTAATACTGAGATTAATTTATTTATATTTATTTATGTGAGTGAATGCATTGGTTTTACATGTATAGCAAGACAAGTTCAAGAAGATCTGTAAAGAAAAATTTATTTTCCCTAAGTAGAAATAAATAATTGATCACATTTTTTGTCTCATGTAGTATTTGAAATTTATTTTCTTAGATATAAATAATTTATTTCTAAATAAGAGATTCTTTTCCTTCCTCCCATAAGTAGTTTAGAATGCTGTCCTTCGCTTCTCCTGGTGTGAAACATTTTCATTTACTTTGAAGTTATACCATATTGTACTTCCTCAAGCATGTCATATTCTCATATTAGAGTTCTGTCACTTATTACTGGTTTGCTTAAGGGCAATCACATTAATTTCTAGATGATTATACATTCCTGTCATCTTACTAATTCTATTGAAGTGTTGGAATAGGCTAGAATACACACATAACTAAACTTAACAATAATTATTTTGTCATATTGCTTCATCTATTTTGCTGTTGAAGTATTTTAAAGTAAATTTCATATACATCATGGTATTTCACTATAAATACTTCAGTGTGTATTTCTAATAATAAGGAAATATTTTCAACCTAACCGCAACCATCACAACTAACAAGATTAATAATAATTTCCTAATAGTTTCTAATATTAGGAAATTCTTTCAACTCTCCTAAAAGTTCTGTGTATAGCCACATCTCCAACTACTAATTCATTTGTTTGTTGAATGGGAGGGCCTCCTCTGCCTACTCTGGGACAGTCTGATGCTTCCTAGGGTAGTAGCAAGTACCAAGCAAGTAGCATTGATTCAATTATTCAGAAAAATACCTGAGAGCCTGCTACGTGCTAGGTGTGAGCTTGTCAAGATCACTGCAATACGGTGGCTGCCTTCATTTTGCTTATATTCTATCTCAGGAAAACCAAAACTAGCACTTAACTGAGAGAAAGAGTATAGAATTACAAGTGTTAGAGTAATCACCTGTACAGAATACAGGGAGTACCTAAGCTATCTTTGCTTCACGGGTGAGTGGTGGGCAGGGAGGCATTCAAGAAAGGATGTGAATTACGGAAGGACAAATAGAGGAGATTCACCAAGCAGGAATGGAGCCTGCAAACAATGTAGCGGGTTCAAAGTAGGAAAGGCTCAGGGAGAAGACTTGTGTTTAGTGTAGAAGTAAAAAGTATAAGCTCCAAATATTTATTCTGCCTTGATTGAAGTTGGAATCAATGGACAGAGGTTTATAATAGCAAGAATTTTAGACATTGGGAAATACTGAACTTTAGCAATACAATACATTGAGTTAGCCTATATATCTTATTGTTTAGATAAAGGTAAAGCTGAAAAAAAATATTTAACAGTTTTCTTGAAGAAAATAATATAAACAGTAGGCATATTGTGGGTAATGGCATTTTCTTGTAGGATTTATAACTACTTTGTGTCCTGTTGTCATGAACTTGAATAATTTTATTTTTTCCCAAGGCAAGCTCTGCTTTGAGATTATACTTTGATTTCAAAGATTGTGCTGCCTTTACTCTTGAGACTGATGCTGGTTTGTTGCAGGAAATTATACTTGCTTACCACAGAAATTTACCTTTTATTATATTTAACCTACTATCACTATCAGATTTCGTGGAACACTTAAACATTAATAGTTTTTGTCTTACCACACCCCAGCTTTTTTTTTTTTTGGTTAATGCCAAAGTGGATACCTTATTTTCTATTCAAACAACTTGAGTGTTCCCTCCACTCCCTTGCCTAAATTAAAAACAACCTCTTCCCTAAAGTCAATGCTTTCCTTGCAAACTACCTCAGTGGTGGCTGGTTCATCTTCCTACTCCGTGTGCCTCAGTGTTGAGAAGTGGTGGTATTCTTTTCCTTACTTGCCATTGTGTCTACTTCCATCCATCTCAAGTTTTCCATCTATTCTTTAAAAAGAGTAACTATTCTTTCACTCTAGTGGGGGCATTTTACTAAAATGTTTTTTCCCTATAGTTTTCTCTCTCTCAATTCCAAGTAGGTAGCCAAATTTTGGTCTTCCTTGCTACAGGGAAACATCGTGACCTGTGGAAGCAGAACCACTTAAAGACAACTCTCTTTCTTACTATTCCTCTCTGAAATCCTGTACTCTCATCATGGACTAAGCTGTGGGGAGGGAGGTAGAAGCAGAATCAGGAAGAGAGAAGATTCCTGTTAACAATAAAGAAGACCTGTGTTGCTCAAAGTCTCTGATCCAAGCATCCTGACAGTTTCTAGGGTGAGGAGGTAAGGACTCAGAGGTGAGTGATGGGAAGTATAATGTTATATTTTGACGTTGGGACTAGCAGGATTTGTTAAAGGATTAGGTGTGCAGTTAAAAAGGAAAGAGGAATTAAAGACGACACCCAGGGTTTTAGCTTGAGCAACAGAAAGGAGATTGTGCTCTTTCCTAACCTTACTTCCCTTCGGGAAGACTTTTGTAACAGAAAGATCAGGAGTTTGTTTTTATACATGGTAAGTTCGAGATACCTTTTAGACATCAAAGTAAAGATGTTGTGTAAGTAGTCAAAAATACATATCTGGAGTTCTGAAGATGGGTCTAGGCTTGAGATATATATTTGGGAGTCAGTAAGAGAACATGTGTCAATGAACCCAAATGAAAAAAGCAAGATGAAGACTTACATTCAACATTAGGGTTTACAATATGGAGGTCATTGGTCGCCTTGTGCAAAGCTCTTTCAGTAGAGTATTTGTAATGAAAAGCCTAGATGGAGGGGCTAAAACAGAGACTGGGATGAGAGAGATTGAAGATAGCCAATACGGATGAATATGGACAACTTTTTTCAAGAGTTTTACAGAAAAGTTTGGGCAGAGGAATGTTTGCTGGAACATACTGTATGCTCAAGAGAGATTTTCTTTTAAAATACGGGGAAAATTGTATCATGTCGTATGCTGATGGATATGATGCAGGAGAAAGAAGGA